CCAGCCAGGAAAACTGCTCTTCCATTTGCCTGGGAACAGAGCTGTGCAGCTTTGTCTTAGCGTTAACTCAAGTTTACCAGACCAGAATGCAAGCTCCGACTGCTTTTCAGAATTGAGCAAGGAGAGGTCAACAGAAATGTTGGAGGGGGATGTACACATGTGATAGTAGGGGAGGTCCACTTTCATGAATGAGCCCCCAGTGTCTTGAGGCTTCTATGAAGGCAAAATCTGATGAAAAACAAGGTACCTGTAACTCACCTTTGTGAAGTCCAGACCCCATAGAAGGAAGCACCTGGAGAATCGTTATAAGTAACTGATACTTACTAAGGATGACATGAAAAGAGGTATTCCCTCAAGAGGACTCTTCCTGCCCCAAGTGCCACTTCCTACAGGATTTATGCAAATTTACCCTCAATTCCTTACCACCCTTGCATCATTTTATTTTTTGCAAAGCAACCAATTCCCAATGGTGACAGAGGAAGTTATTTCTCCCAGCATCATAGATCATAGTGGATTTCTACTCGAATCCTTTCTTGCCAGCTATAGATTTGCTTTAAAGTTGGTGCTACCTAACAGAGTGACTGTATTCATTCTCCTTTTGTTTTTAGGGAAGCAACTTCAAATATTTCTTCCTCAAATAAACCCAGCTTGCGTATTTAGATTCTTTTCCGTATCAGCTTTACTGACACAAGTTTGTACTGAAATTTTTGGTAGTCTGGGAAGTATGATGTGGTAATGGGTATAGTCTGTGTGGCTATTGTAGATGCATTCTACATAATAGGATAGTTTCACTTGGTATACTAATATAGCTGTATAATTCAGATAAGCCATCAATAAAAATTTCATGTTTTTGGCAAACACCAGGTAGGTGCTGGTTAGTTTTAATAGTAGAGGAGACCTTTTAGATTTTTTTAAAAAGATGTTTTTATTGATTTTTAGAGAGAGGAAGGAAGAGGTAGAGAAACATCCATATGAAAGAGAAACAATCTGCCTCCTGCACGCCCCCTACTGGGGATTGAGCCCACAACCTGGAATTAAACCAGTGACCTCTCGGTGCACAGGATGACATTCAACCAAAGGAGCCACACCAGCCAGGCGACCTTTTACATTTTTGAACAATGTGCTTTCCTAAAATCCCAAAGACTCAATACAATAGAGTATGTGCTTTTACCTCAAAATGGAATGAACACCAAGTTGAATTGCGGCACAGGCCATAAGCCGGTTCACTCACTGGCTGAAACCCATGCTCAGTCTCATGGTGTGTCGGATTTTGTGCTACAGCCAAATCAACTACGTTAAAGGTTGTGGGCTGGGGTGGGGTGGAGATAAAGAGAGTCAAGGCCAAATAGGAAACCTAGGGAGCCTAGTTTGCTTCTCATTTTATTACTCTGCCGTTTTACTCAACTCTAGCCCGTGAGGCCAGTAACTCAGTTTTCAATACATGGTAAGCCAAACGAGAGGGGAAAAAAATGCCTATTAATTTATAGAAGCTTGATAAAGTATTTCTGGAATATTTTAAAAAATGGGACAGCGTTGTGCATTTGTCATAGACTGATTATGTGACTTAAAAAGAAACCTGTAGCTCTGCGCAAAAGACATCAAATTGCAACAGCCTGAATTCTGCTGACCAGCCGACGAGGTTCTGCTGGTGTGAAGGCTGAGTCAGAACAGCCAATAACGTGAAAGCTGTGCAGTATATTTTTAATACTTCTGTTTCTAGAATATGTGAAGGATTTGAGGTTGTTTGATTCTTTTTCATAACTGGTTAAAAAAAATTCTCAAAGCAAAGTTTAGGGTTTTTAGTGTGTTTTATAATTTGAAGAAAAATGTCAAATTTTAGTATCAATAGAAAGATAAAATTTGGATTTTACTTTAGAGGAACACACATTTCAAAAGTTGTAATTTGCTCCACACCAAGAATAAGCAACCTTTACATTTACATGATAGTTTTATACAGCAAGATTTTAAAAATAATTTACATTAAGAGACAAGTATGACTTGGGTCAATAGATCTTCAGTTAATCAGAAAGGAAAATGAAGCTTTTTAAACATGAAATTCTGGACTACTTCAGGTATTCAGAGCATACATTTTCTCTTTAGGAGGATTGTCTTCAAATAGTGAGATAGATTCACTAATATTTCTAATCCATAAGCAATATCAAGAAAGCTATGTATAATAAATATGTAAGTACAGTGTCAGTACAAACCTTACAAAATAAATAAATTTAAACACCAACTCAATCTACTTTTGCTTTAAAAAATGGTTAGGTTTCTTCATAAGATGTCACAACTCAGTAGATATTAAATTACACATCATTCTAAATAAATTCTGTGAAAACCAAAAGTGGAATAATTTGTGAATATACAAGCAATAAACTTTAAAAAAAACCCCAACATCATTCTATATGTAAAAAGCAATCCTAAAGAAGAGTACATTATGGTACAAAATATGGAAACTAAATTGAATCCCTCTTTAATGAATCTTATAGGACATATTTACATTTGCAGTGCCCCCAAGCTTCCAATTCTCAGTCATAAAATGCATGACTAAACTAGCTTGCTTGTTTTCAGACCCCTTGTTCCCAGTTTTCCAAGTTCAGCAAACTATGGCCTGGGGCCAAATCCAGCCTGCCACCTGTTTATGGCTCCTGAATAGTTTTTACACTTTTAAGTGATCGAGTAAAGACAAAAGAGGACATTTGTGACATATGAAATTATATGGAATTCATTTGAGTGTCTAAATAGTATTACTGGAGCCCAGCCACCCTCATTCGTGGATGTATTGCCTACGGCTGCTTTTGCACTATTTCAGCCACGCTAAGTTGTTGCAACAGAGACCATATGGCCCATAAAGCTCAACATATTTAGTATCTGGCCCTTTGCAGGTACAGTTTGCTGACTCCTGTTCTAAGTCAGTTATTGCAAGCTTAGTCATGCTTCTTTTCTTTTTTTCCCCTTTTTAACAACTGTTGACATTTATAAAAGGACAATCTCCTGGGCTTCTTTGCTTCATTCATCAGGAAAATGGTTGGTAGCCCTGGGCCATTTCGCTTGTCCTCCGTGTGGACCTCACATCGTGTGTGATGAAAGCTTCGGCCCAGAAATCATCAGTTTCCAGTTTAAGTTGAATGAAAGCAAGGAAAATACGTATTTTTCCACCACGCTCATTCTTGACTTTAACTTCTTGCCAAAAGGTCTTCACCTGTGAAGTTGTATCCACAGGCTAGTTAGTATATTGTGAACGGAGGAGCAGAAGCATTTACAGTGCAGCAAGCGTGTAGTGTTCAACAGAAACGCACAGCTCTGGTGGCTGCGTGTGGGGGACAGGCTACATCTGACACACTCAGTGTTATAACACGATGTCCCCAGGAGGTGGACCGTGAGGGCTTTTCTGTCCCAGAACACCACATTCTTCTCAAAGGTTTTTCTTTCTTTCTTTTTTTTTAAATCACAAACTGTTCAACTTTTTTTAAAAGGTGGAATTCCTTCAACAATGGTATTTATTCGGATAAGAGTAGGTAAATACTTGTTTAAAAATTCTCAGAATATTTATTAAGGGGGAACTCTTGACACTTGAGAGGGGAAAATTTTAG